CTTTAGACATCTTCTCCGACAGACTTTATGGATGGATGATCACAAAACCTTGTAGCATTCTTAGGTAGTATTTTATCAAGTTTGATCATATTAATTTGATTAGCCACTTTTAGAAACCGCTAAAGCTGAAAAAATGGACATACCTTTAAACGTCTGCTTCTACAGAACCAGTTGATGGAGGATCACCGAACTTTGTCTGTTGCATACTTGGGTAGTCCTTTATCACGTTTGCTCATATTAATTTGATAAGCCCCTTTTAGGGGTCTCTGGAGCTAAAAATAGAAAAACCTTTAGACATATTCTAATGGATGATGATCACCAAATTTTGTCTGTAGTATTCTTAGACCTGTAGTCTTTTATCAAGATTGTTCATACTAATTTGATTGGCCCAAGTTATGGGCTGCTAAAACTTAAAATAGAAATTAATTTAAACGGCTCCTTTTACAGAACTTATTGACGGATGATCACCAAATTGTGTCTGTAGTATTCTTAGGTAGTCTGTTATCAAGTTTGCTCATATTAATTTGATTGGCCCCTTTTAAGGGCCGCTAAAACTAAAGATAGAAAAACCTTTGAACATCATTTCCTTCTGAATTGATTGATGGATGATAACCAATCTTTGTTTGAAACATTCTTAGGTAGTCTTTTATCACATTTTCTCATATTTATTTGATTGGCCCCTCTTAGGGGCCGATAAAGCTAAAATAGAAAGAATTTATTGATGGATGATCAACAAATTTTGTTTGCAGCATTGTCAAGTAGTCTTTCATCAAGTTTGCTCATATTAATTTGATTGGCCCCTTTTAAGCTTAAGTATAAATACCCCAGGTCATGGCATTTCTTCAAGTTATAGTTTAAAGACAGTCTATGCTCAAATTTGATATTGACAATGGATACACAGTTTCTTTATAAATATAAGATAAACATGTTTTGACTGCACACAAAGTAGATACATTACGTTTTTAACTCTTCACACTATAGGTGGTCACAGTATGAATATGTAAGGTCATTTAAAAATAACTTCCTGTCTATTGTTTGGTTTTGTTTTTGTTTTGTTTAATTTTTTATAGAAAATACCACTTTACTTGGCCTAAAATAGGATATGCAGCTTCCCATACATAGTTTATTCGTTTTTTTTTAATTAAAATAAGGCATATTCAGTAAGAATTTCATAGATTTCATTAAATTTCTACAATAAGAATAGTTTTACTCAACGATGAACATAGTATATCTTTTATAATGAAAGGGAAACAACTCATGTTGAAATAAAAAATAAAATTAAAGAAAAAAGTCTATCATATTGACATTGGCTATCGCCTTGGTGAATGTGTCAACTGCCGGTGAATATCACATATATTCAATGGCTCACAAGTTAATAATTGTATAATATTAAACACTATTTAAGATAGCATACCCGCACAGTGTAAAGGGACGTGCGAATATATAACATTTAATATACCTTTATCAATGCTGTATGTTTTTATCATACACAAAGACATCAAAATATACATTTACTAACCTACGCGACGATTCTTTGTAGTGTCTCTTTACCTAAAGCTTATGTAATTATGTAATCTATTCATTTTAGATAAGAAGAACTGAATGCAAAGTCATGCAAAGTAAAAAAACATAAATTGATCTATAGTGAGCCGGTGTAATTAGTTGAACATGAATAGGACCAGCTATCTTCCGCTTTTACTTAATCTGAAAAAGAATTTGTTATTAACATGCTTTACTTTGAATTTGCAACAGTCAAGGATTTTAATATCAAAATACAACAAGAGGGCCATCATGGCCCTGAAGTCGCTCACCTGTATATAGGCCCCCGGAGCGGGGCCAGTTTAAACCTCGGGGCTTTGATTTGAACTTGGTAGACACCAATTAGAAGATGTTTCATGCTAAACATCTAAGGTCTAGCTCGTTGGGTTTTTTTAAAAGAAGATTTTTTAAAGTTTTTCCTTTACACATATAGTTAGAAACAATGACACACCTGGGGCAGGGCCAGTTTTGACCCCTGGGCTTTTATTTGAACAATCTTTGTAGACACATACAAGAAAATGATTAATATCAAAACTCTAGCTATTCGGCTTTCAAAGAAGATTTTTTAAGTTTTTGCTATACACATATAAGGAAAATCAATGTCCCCCGGGGCGGGACCAATTTTGACCCCATGGCTTTTATTTGAACAATCTTTGTAGACACTCACTAGAAGATGCTTCGTGCTTAATATCTAAACTCTAGCTATTTCAGTTTTTTCAAAGAAGATTTTTTAACTTTGACACTCACTAGAAGAAGTTTCATGCTTAGTATTTTAACTCTAATTGTTACACATGTTACATTTGGAACAGCATAAAACCTTATAAGGGCTATCACTGGAAGTAATAAATGCAAACAGAATTTTATTCCTAAAACAAGAGTCACCGAAAGCACGGACCACAAATGACCTTTTCTTGTTTCATTTCCAAATGCAAAATATTGAAAGAAGCGTTTTGGTGGAAGTCTTAAAAAGATCACAATCATATTTGCATTGGTCATTTTGAAAGTTAGGCATTAAATATTGTTTTGTCCGATTATAAACTTGTAACAAAGTTATAGCAAATTTGATATAGTAACAAAAGGTAAAACCTTAAAGTTTATTTAAAGTTTTCAATAATATTTTTCTCAAAAAATATAATGATGTTGCCTAACATGTCATTACATCCACATATTAATCATAACTGCACATCAATTACTAAGTTGTACAGAATTCTAATGATTTTTCATTTGTTTTCTTGAGGTTCAATGGGCATTTTAAATAAAAAAAAGTACTTCAGTTACACGATATGGAGGTGTTTTTTTCAAAAGTTTTGTTCAAAAATAAATTATGTATGCCAATCAAAATTAAAATAAAAAATACAATTCCAGAAAAATTGAAATATTTGATCAATACATCATTGTCAATGTTAATTTAAGGACAACATACATGGACTGCTCAGTATTACAATTTTATATCAAATGTTGACTTATTAAAGTATTACTTATTGATGTATTAATCAATTAATATACTTAATAAGTTTACAAAAAAAGCTTATAATTAGTCAAGATAGAGTTCAGTTTTACCTTCTTGAACGAGTTTATAAAATAATTGTCTAAGAATAGATAAATGTAAATACAAATAATAATAAATTCTTGGCATATTAGCAAAATTCTATATATATCTAAACAATTAGATAGAGTGTGGCCAAAGTAAAATTTTAAAAAGTTCATGCCATTTATCGGCCTCGGTCAAATTAAGTGTTTACTGTTTGAAAGGTTTAAGTTTTATTATAAATATAATGCACCCATCAATAAAAAAGTTATATCCATTTATAATCAAAAGATGTTTTTTGCAAAAGATGCAAGAATGAAGATTGGAAAATGACAATGCTCGATTTTAAAGCACAACCCTTAATCATTTCTTAAATCAATTTGACGGTGCGGAACAGCTTCCGCTATAGATATGAGAAAGTGGAAAACAATGTTGATTCAATGTTCTAGGAATGAAAGTACATTTAGGTAAATTGGTAAAAAAACTATTATAAAGTCGCTGAAGGTGACTGGATGTATAAAATGTTGGATTTGTCTGTATTCGACCCTGAGATAAACAAAATCCACCCAACGCAGATCACAGTCATGTAATAAGGCAGCGTGATTACGTCAATTGTATGTAAAGTTAAGATGCAATACACATAAACCTATGTATATTATAACGTGACTTGGCATACCTGTATTATTGTCCTTAACTGTGTATGTTTAAATGAATTTATTTTTGCTCCCATTGATAAGTTAGTTAGATTAATCTGTCACATAAATAACAAGTTTTTGTTAACATTCTAGTGATTCTACGGTAGGTTAGGTTTCATTCAAGGTCGTTTGTTAGTTAAACAGAATCACAGTTTGAGATTCGTTACTAACTTTGCCATTGAACAATTCAATAACAATATACATTAAAATATAAATATATAAAGAAAAAAACAAAGTTACTTTCTACTTCTGTTTAGTTTTCTTCTGACCTAATTTACTTAACTATACTTGATTTGCGGACTATCTAAGTAGCTACACAACGTCATAAAGAGGATTATTTCCCTTATGAAATCACTTAAAGTTCCATCTATTATCGCAGTCTGATGAATTATCTTTTTCAAATTAATTGAATCAAATATGGGCACATATACTGCCTTTTAACAGAAAATACTTCGTATAAGACTATATAGTACACTGTAGTTAATAGCAAGCGATTTTTTTTATAAAAATGGGGCTAACTGAAATTACACGCAAACTTGATAAAAAGATCGTCTTAGATTCTTCAAAGTAAGTGTAATAAACTTTTGGATTGCTTTGAGAAAAAAAATCACTTAAGTGAAATACAAATTCCATATCACGACATTCCAATATTCAAACCGACTTGCTTTGACATTCGATGGTTTATGCAACTTTTGAAAACGCCAATTACAAAACGTTCCTACCAAGTATCTTAACTATATGTCGTTACTTTCAAAAGAGAGGATTATAAACGTTGTTAACCCTCAACCCCGCCACCTTCTTTACAGTATGCTGAAAGCCTTAACTTGGGATTCAAGATTATGTAGAAATACTTAAAGTTTTCCATTTCAGGCTTAAGTTTGTAAAAATATAATTTAGTTTCAATAAAAGAGGTTATTTCAACATGTTAACTTCTTGCATAAAAGTATAAACTTTAAACTGCAACACGAATGTCGAGATAAAAGTGACTATGATTTTAATTTTATTTTAAATGACTACGCATAACTAATATGATGTCGACCTAGTTGGAAATTTTAGACTTTATAATTGTAAGTTCTAATATCTTTTTCTTGTAAGGAAATAGTACAGTAACAATAGAGTACATGGGGTACACGTATTAGAGGTTCAAAGTGAAAAATATCACATAGATATATGAACATGTAGTAACTGTTACGCCTTTACAAGAAAACAGAAAAATTTATAATCATTTATCAATCTATATAAAACAAAAATATTTGTAATCGATTCTGGAAAAAAATAAAAACTTAAACAGATAAAAAGAAATTCTCTATAATGTTAATTCACTACATAAAATTCATTAAATTCAATATGGTTTATGAAAACCTGACTATGGGTTTATTTGTAGATTACAATGTAGCTTCCAGATCAAAGCTTTCAAATCGTCTATATATCGAACGTATTACAAAAAATGTGTTCAAGTATACAAAATACCAAAATATCAATGTTCGTACCTTTATTTACTTCCTTAACGTTTATATTCTCCTTAGTGAATCGTTTCATATCTATGAATTTTAATCAGTCATTATCTGTCATTTGAACTGTTACTTTCTTCAACACCGCTTTTTTCGATACTAAATTTATTATGGCTATATCGGATTACTTATATAGATATATGTATATATAGTAATATACTTAGTTAAAGGAAAAAAATACCTGGAATAAGTAAAGTGCCTAAAATATCTCTGATTTCAAAATTGTTTAGTTATAGCCGTGGAGTTGACAATACAGGCATAATAAAACCAGAAAAGGAAGATATGCATTTTTCATTCATATATATACTTGCAATGTGCTTTTCGATTAAAGGTAACGAAGAACTATAGTTTAATCAATGAATATATGTTTATATTTAATTTTCTATATTAGCAGTATCACCTTTCTCTTTTTATAGAATATTTTCATTGTTTTAATTTTAATCATAACCAAGGTAAATTGGTATGATTGACCGATTGGGAAAAGGTGTTTGATTGATTAAGACATTTTGACTTATTGATTGATTGTTTGTTTGTTTGTTTGATTGATTGATTGATTGAATTGATTGATTGATTAATTGATTGATTGATAACCTCTAATGAAATTCAACGTTTTTCCGTTCAAATTTCATATATGCGCAGGAATTATCGAAACCTAAAATTAATGTACTACATACTTTCGTTATATTTTAAATTAAGTTATAATCAAAACACAAAGTAGGCAGATGTTAAAATAAATAAAAACAAATGTCTTAATATTAGTTTGATGTTGGTAAAACTTTTTGATACGATGTCATGAATTTATGCGGTCTAATTGGCAACACAATATTGAAACTATGCCAGTTGAAATAATTCAGGGGGTTATTGTTATTGTTGTTGTTTTTGTTTGGGTTTTTTTAAAAAACAAATCAAACAACATAATAGTGATTGCTAGTTTCTGTTCTATGTTCTGTTTGGGAACTTTGTTATTCAAAGTAGTTGAAGATCAAACTATCTAGTTTTCAGTGGATTGAACCTTTTCAATAGACTTTAAATCTATATAAGGAAAATGATTGACAACCGCAATTGTGTTTACAATACAATGTTTATTTCTTACGTTTCATGAAGTTTAAGACGTGCAGAATGTTTTTATCTATTCCACTCAGAGTATTGATAATATATTTATAATGTAAATATTTTTAGTCGCTACTTTAACGCATGTTTTTATTGATTAAAGTAAGACTGATCATTAATTTATTGTATTTTTTTAATTATCAAACTACATCATTAAAATCCAGAACGTAAACTTTTTACCATTCTTTAATCATAATTGTATAACGTGTTAAGCATAATTTTGAATTTACTTTGTACGATAACATATACTAAATCTATTTTAAAGTATGTTGTTCTAGTTTCTGTATTAAACTATTAAAAGGTTAATACACGGCAGAGTATGGTCGGAATCTTGATGATAATCGGCTTCAGTACGGCATTATACATTTCAAGACGGATTATCACTTTCCGATCCGCCTCTGACGTGTTTTTATGTTAATATCTAATAGTAGCACTTGATTAATTAATTTGATATTTCATTCTTTAACTGTACAGTATCTAATACACAGTTGCTTCCCTTATATGCAAAACAATGAAGCAGCAAGTTTCATTTTCTCGGAATAAAATGTTTTGTTTTTATTCCTTTAAATTTACAATAAAACTGTGTTTGTAAAATTACACTGAAGTTGTAATCATAAAAAAGCGATCAGTGCAAACATCCTAACTTTCACTTCACAGTGACGTAAAATGTGACGTTATTGTTATAGTGTTTGCACGTGTTCAGCGGGCCGATTATGATAATAGGTTTTGTGTGCTTCATCTACTATAATATCTAACTCTTATTAGAAACAGAGTGCTTCAACGAGGAAGAATATCATATTGTTGAAATAACAAGTCTCTTGTTGAATGTACTAAAAACTGTTGGCAGTTACCTTGAAAAATGCGTGATTTGTAAAATATTCGTGGCATTAATTACGGGTGTAATATTGTGATAATATTTCAATGCAAAAAGAAACTGATATAGATTGATGGGATCACCTTGTTTACATTTATTGCTTTTGTATTAAAACAGTCCGACATAACAGACATTTTTATTTCAGACTCATACATTTATTTCAATTTCTTATTGTACTTGAACTAACAACGTTCTGTCGATCTGTCAAAAGAAGTCCATCTATATTAAACATGTTTAAGCGGAAAATGATAACAAGAGGGCCATGATGGCCCTGAAGTCGCTCACCTGTATATAGGCCCCACAGAGCAGGGCCAGTTTAAACCCCAGGGCTTTTATTTGAACAAACTTGGTAGACACCAAAAAGAAGATGTTTCATGCTAAATATCTTAGCTCTAGCTCTTTGGGTTCTTAAAAAGAAGATTTTTTAAGTTTTTACTCAATACATATAAAGAAAATCAATGACCCCCTGGGGCGGGGCCAATTTTGACCCCATGGCTTTTATTTGAACAAACTTGGTAGACACCAATAAGAAGATGTTTCATGCTAAATATCTTAGCTCTAGCTCTTTGGGTTCTTTAAAAGAAGATTTTTTAAGTTTTTACTCTATACATATAGGGAAAATCAATGACCCCCTTTGGGCGGGGCCAATTTTGACCCCAGGGCTTTTATTTGAACAAACTTGGTAGACACTCACTAGAAGATGTTTCATGCTAAATATCTAAGCTCTAGCTCTTTGGGTTTCTTAGAAGAAGATATTTAAAGTTGTTTTTTTTGGTTGCCATGGCAACCAGAGTTCTGCATGGAATTAAATTCTTTGAACAATTTTTAAAGGTGACCACCAAAGGAACATTCCTGTGAAGTTTGGATGAAATTGGCTTAGTGGTTTATGAGGAGATGTCATTTAAAGTAAAAGTTTACGGACGGACGGACGCCGGACGAAAAGTGATCACAAAAGCTCACCCTGTCACTTTGTGACAGGTGAGCTAAAAATCATACAATTGTAATTAAAATTGCAAAGGAAACCCACCTTTTACCAATGCTATATGTGTTCTGATGTATATCATTAAAAGATATAAATGATAAATATAAATAAATAATATTATTATCCTTTCATCACGATTATTTTCTTAATAATTATATTTCGTATATGTTAATATCTATTTTAGGTGAACAGTGTGACGAAGTTTCCGAGAAATCACCAAATGTTTACATTGACCAATTTTCGAACGATGTAAATGATCTTCTCCAAGAACTGGACGAAAAATATTCTATGACAGAAAGTATAGGAAATGCAAGGAAAAAGATGCAAGAAGTGAGATTTGAAAAATGGGATAATGATTGTAAATCAGCGGGAATGCTCATAAATTTGTACACAAACTCTGACGAGATTATGCACTTGCCAGGGGTGACTTTTTACAGAAGCTTGAGTCAAGCAATAAAGAGTGATAACCCTGGATTTATTTGGCAAAAATGTGAGCAATTGCTAAATATTGCTTTAAATATCATAGGACATGAAACTTTTGACATTGTATTCAGGGGGGAAAGACGCGGTGAGTCTTCTATCCCCGATGACCTTACAGAAGGTTCATCGTACAAGGAACGCGACTTTTGGAGCACTACCCTTGATCCTTCAGTCACTGACCATTTTGGCGGTGCAGAATATGCTTTCATCATTATAAAGAACGTTCAAGGTGTAAATGTTCAACATGTTTCTGTTACAGATATGGAAAAGGAAGTTTTAGTTCAAAGCTCAAGGGAATATATTCTTAAAAGGAAAATAAGCAACAAGGAAGAACAACAAAAAGTGCTTAAGCGAATTCACTTGCGGTATCCTAACTTTAAACCTTCAAAATTTAACCCTGAGAACATATTCATACTTGTTCCTGTAAAAGTGGATGGTGAACATGATGAGTTATAAGTATGTTTTAAAGGTTTTATCAGCCGTGGGAATCCAGCCAGTTAAAACGATGTTTTAAAAAGTCAAGTGTTCATGTCTTTTATTAATTGTGTTAGCATATCATGATTATCTTCTACATGTTTTTCAAGTGTGAAACAAAATTTCTTTTCCCGTTAAAAATGTCTGTGAATGTAAAACTAGTTCATTGTATCAAATATATAACAGTTGCATAGCTAGAATTAGATTCTATATTTTTGAAAGACATATATTAAATACTGGTCAAACTGTTTTGAAAATATAAATAGTGATAAAAGATTAAATTACCATAAAAATGTATTTTTTTCATGTAAATCACGTTTAGACATGTGGATAAAAATGTAAATCAATTTGTACGTAAAAGACTTCATTTTCTCCAATTTGGTACATAGAAAGTGTCAATAGTAATGAAAACAAGCAACTATCATAGTATTGCAAGCAATCCATAAGTCCCCTACCGGTTAGAACCCCAGCAACATTCTGAAGGGCCATTCAATTCTTCTCTTTTTTAAGAAAATTTGTTGGAAAAATTCTTTAAAAGTGGTCACAGGAAACAGTTTTTATGAACAGACAGACTGAAAGACACTCTAAAGTTCATTTTTTAAACATCCCTATTACCAAAATATAACTTTTTTATAAGCAAAATTCTTAAAGAGGAGAAAACTCTTGAAATAAAGATCCAAGATGTCGTACATGATGTGAGTGTAACTAGGAACAATTAGTAATGAAGCTGTTCATAATGAATGTTTATTTTGAATTTGAAGTATTAAAGTTAAAAGAATGAATAAGATAAATTCAAAGTTTAAGGATGAGATAATTCTGGAAATAAGGATGCTAGATTTATAAACCTTGTCATATTATTATGATGTGGGAGTTTGAAGTAAATCCCATTAGTAATGAAGAAGTTGGAGTAAAATATACCTATTTCTCGAAACAATCTAAGTTCAAGGGGGACATAATTCTGGAAATAGTATTACTGGAGTATTGAACCTTCTCACAATAATAAGAAACATATATATGAAGTTTGAAGAAGATACATTAAGAAATAAAGAAGTTATTTAGAAAAATAACTTTTTTTCATGTAAATTCAAGGGAGGCAATTCTGATAATTTAATGCTAGAGATAAAACAATGTCACATTTGATGTGGTTGATGACCAGAAACTTATGTTTGAAGTTTGAAATAAATACCATAAAAAATAAATAATTTATAGAGAAGAAGCCTAAAAAGACATGCATAATCTCCATACTGCCATCTATCCAGATAATAATAAAGTTTCATAAAAATATTTTCAGTACTTTTTGCGTAATCGCGGGATCGAGTTTTGTAGATGGATGGACGGACAGACGGAGGGTAAACCTAAAGGTCTCTCCGGAAAAGATAGAAAATCCTACTAGCTATATTTTTTCCAAGAGTGGATTAAATATTAAGTTGTTCAACCTCCATCCTTAGCACCACCCTCCCTTTCAATAAAGTATTCCGAACGCCTAATCTCTTGTCATTCGAGGATCATTAGATATTATTAGAATTTCTCCCATTTAAGGCTTTGTAAAAACAGCATTTTAGTTTCAGTAAAGAAGGTATTTTAAAGTTCTTAGAGTCTTAGAAGATGGTTCGTGCTAAATATCTTAGCTCTAGCTCTAAAGGTTTCTTAAAAGATTTTTAAAGTTTTTAATATATACATAAAGGGAAAAACAATGACCCCCTGAGGCGGGGCCAATTTTGACCCCAGGGCTTTTATTTGAACAAACTTGGTAGACACCCACTAGAAGATGTTTCAGGCTTAATAGCTAAGCTCTAGCTAATTGGATTTTTTAAAAGAAGATTTTTTAAGTTTTTACTATATACAAACTAGAACTATCACTAAATGTGATTAATACCCCCCACCCACCCCTGCTTCGGAAATGAAGATGTTACTAGTAACAGAATACCTTGTAAAGAATTGAAATAGGGTTATGGTTGTGGGCAATTAAAGATAATTGTTGTTCTTTTATGTTGCATTTCCTTTCAATGTGGTTGGCCATTGATGAAGTTTTATTGGATTACTCTGTAATAAGTCCAGAAAGACAAGGAAAAGGAACAGAGGGCAATAACTCTATAATTTGAGTTATGGTTATTGTACACTGCACTTCCTCTCATTGCGCTTGACCATTTCAAGTTATGCACTGGACAAAAAACAAGAGCTGTCGGTAGGACAGCAACGCTCGACTATTCTTAGTGCTTGATTGTAAAAAAAAAAATGCTTGATACAGTTATCTCCTCCTATTTACAGGTTGGGGTAATGATGGTGAACAAGTGTGCAAAGTTTCAAAGCCATATGTCAATGGACTTTGAAAATATTTGAGGTATTAAAAAAACTTTAACATAAATTTTAAGTCGAAAAAAGGGGCATAATTCTGTCAAAATGATTGATACAGTTACCTCCTCCTGTTTACGGGTTGGGGTAATGATGGCGAACAAGTGTGCAAAGTTTCAAAGCAATAGGTCAATGGACTTTGAAAATATTTGAACTATTACAAAAACTTTAAAGTAAATTCTAAGTCGAAAAAGGGGCATAATTCTGTCAAAATGCTTGATGCAGTTACCTCCTCCTGTTTACAGGTTGGGGTAATGATGGTGAACAAGTGTGCAAAGTTTCAAAGCCATATGTCTATGGACTTTGAAAATATTTGAACTATTATAAAAACTTTAACGTAAATTCTAAGTCAAAAAAGGGGCATAATTCTGTCAAAATGCTTGATACAGTTACCTCCTCCTGTTTACAGGTTGGGGTAATGATGGTGAACAAGTGTGCAAAGTTTCAAATCCATAGGTCAATGGACTTTGAAAATATTTGAACTATTACAAAAACTTTAACGTAAATTCTAAGTCGAAAAAGGGGCATAATTCTGTCAAAATGCTTGATACAGTTATTTCCTCCTGTTTACAGGTTGGGGTAATGATGGTGAACAAGTGTGCAAAGTTTCAAAGCCATATGTCAATGGACTTTGAAAATATTTAAACTATTTCAAAAACTTTAACATAAGTGGTTACGCCGGCGGACGCCGACGATCGGGTAACTACAATAGCTCTACTTATTCTTATCGAATAGTCGAGCTAAAAATTAACAAAGGCAATAACTGTAATTAGTCCAAACAGAGTTATTGTTCTTGTGCACTGCACTTCATCTCACTGCCCTTGACCATTGTATAAAGTTTCATTGAATTCCAACCATTAATTTTCAAGTAATGCACTGGACAATAAAAAGTAACAAAGGGAAAAAACTTTTAAATTAGTCAAAAAAGAGTTATGGTTTCTGTGCACTGCACTTCCACTCAATATACTTGAACATTGTATGAAATAGATTTGAATTTCAACTAGTAGTTTTCAAGTTATGCTCTGGACAAGAAAAAAGCAATGGAAAAGTAACAAAGGGCAATAACTCTATAATCACTCTGTACAGTGTTTATGTT